GGGGGTGGGGGGGGGGGGTGGGGTGCGGCAATCTCTTAAAGTTAATTGGGAAGTGGGAGAATGGAAACATATTGTCCATAACCAACCATTGAGGCAGCACTGTTCTATTCCATTCCATTCCGGATCAGCTGGACTGATTGATAAGTTGGATTCACCTGAGGGATGTTAATGTCTGGTTGACTAGTGAGTGTAGATCGTATGGCTTTATACATATATTATTTGCCTTGTTAACTGTTGGTTGCCATTCTGAGAGAAGGCTGATGTCTTTAGTGGGTGACTTTTAGGTCCTGGGTAGATGATTTTGTTCTTTGCTTTTGATTTATCATGCATATTTGTCAATGATGAACTGATTGGAACGAAAAAAATGGGTATTAGAACAGGTAAAAATGATATGTGGCTGCAAAGGCAGAAATTAGCTTTATTGTAACAGAAAACTGGAAGTGAGGGTCTCATGCATCATATTTAGTACTAGATTGGGAATTATAGCTTGACAAACTCATTCCCTATTATACTAGATACCTGGTTTCTTGATAAACTCAGGATGAGGCCCTGCACCCATTCCAACTGCCCCTAAAACATGCACGCAACAAGAGAAATAATAACATCAAATAAATAAATAAGAAAAACTAATGTGGAGTATACTGGTCAAATATCATTTTTTAATATTGCCAGTTGATGGATCACAATCCGCTTACTATAACATGCATAGTTACATTGGTTCTCTTCTTCAATTCTAATGTCATTTCCTTCTATTGTTTATACCTTCACTTTCAGGATTAGAGATATACTGGCTTTGGCAATGGCTGGCTCAAATACATTTGGGCTAGTGACTGGTGCATTTCTTCTTGGTTTTGGTTTAAGCGAAATTCCAAAGAGCATTTGGAGAAATGCTGACTGGACTACTTGTCAGAAGGTTCTGTTGCACAAAATTGCCAAAATGGCTGTGAAACTTGATGATGCTCACCGAGAACTATCAAACACCATAGTGGTACGTGTTTCTGATAATGATATGCTTATGAACTGGTCTATCAAAAATTATAACGTGAAAACTCTGTAGCAAGAGAATTTATTTTCCTTGTTATCTTGACTTCTATCTGTACTCCATTTACTAAGGATTGTATTCCAGTTCAAAACATTGCTGCAATTCTTTTTAAGCCCTTGTTTGGTTGGGATTAAAATTTAGATTTTAATCTAAGTCAAAGTCAACAATTAATTTTAACGACATATTTTATTATACCCAAAACTTTTTAACAACACATTTCATCAATTTTTATTAAACTCTACTAAAAATCTGATTTTAATCCCCACCAAACAGGGGCTAGATAAACACAATTACCACGGATTCATTCACTTTGGAGCATAGATTTTCTCTGGTACATGTTGGATAAAAAAAAATTGTATGGTTGCGTTTTACTTTAAGCCCTGTATTTGGAACCATGCAGTGATTCATTTGCTCCCTTCACCCTACATTATATATCACAGAAAAATGGTTTTGGTTGAAAAGTCAATTTCTCATAGTGTAATTCCATGCAATTTGTTTATTTTTAAACATTAAACAACGAAATAATATAACAACTGGAAAATGAGACTGATTCAAGCCTCTGAAGCTGGGTTGTGGAATCCCCATTCTCTCCATTATGCAAGCAAGCCCAGTTTGGACACATTTTAAGCTTGTGAAAGACAGGAACCTTAAGCTTGCGTCAATTGTCAAAGTAGCACCTATGCAGTCATAGCTCTATTATGTTAGTTCGACAAATGCTTGTTCAAGATCGACTAGAAAGATAAACTTACCAAGTTTCAATCTTTCTTGAATCTCACACCTTAGCTCAAATGATTACATCTCTAGGATTTGATCATCTATCCTGTAGTTTGATCTCTTCGTTTTGGAATATTAAATAAATAATGTACTCAAGTATTGTTTCGAGAAAAGACTGGTTCACCAAAAATGGAGAATTGTGCACTTAATATGGGATGACTGGACAATAAATAAGTAGTCAAACCATTCGGGGAATAATAGAAAATGTAGAGGCAGCATTGATAATACTGGGGTTTCTTGCTTGACTATGAGTTGGAAAATGCTAGAAGCTAATACGAAGAATATGATGCCTCTAGCTGATTTAGTCAAATG